CAAGGACTGGTCGGCTCGGTATTCGTATGAAACTGAGGCATGGTATCTCAGTGGGTTAACACTATTGAAATCGGCATTAGTCGGTACACACACGCGCGGACACACACACACACACACAAACACACACACACACACACTCTCTCTGATCATAATATCAATCACTGGTTTGTTTGATCCAGACTTGGGTATTTACAGGAAAACGTAATTTTGCATGAGTATTGCTGAGGACTGCGATGTCTCACACGTGACGGTCTGGCTTAGTGTGAGTGAGTGAGTTCGGTTTTACGCCGCTTTTAACAATATTCCAGCAATATCACGGCGGGGGACACCAGAAATTGGCTTCTCACATTGTACCCATGTTGGGAATCGAACCCGGGTATTCGGCGTGACGAGTTAACGCTTTAACCATTAGGCCACCCGACCAACCCCCGGTCTGGGTTAGAATTGGTCTTCAGCAACTCATGCTTGTCGAAAGAGACGACTAATAGGATCGGGTGGTCAAGCTCTCTGACTTGGTTGATGCACGTCATCGTATCCGAATGGAGTAGATCAATGCTCATGTCAATCACTAAATAGTCTGGTTCAGAGTCGATACAATTTACAGACCGCCGTCACATAGCTGGAATGTTGGTGAGTGCGTTGTTAAACAACAAACAAGTTAATCGGCCCCTATGGTAAGAAGCAGAACTGTTCCCCAATTAATATCTCTCGCATGTCGTTTTCTAGACTATTAACCCCACGTTGAAATAGCGTAACCTATGTTACAGAAATTGCGTGGTAGAACTCTTCCCTGCAGTAACCTGTGTTACAGAAATTCTGTGGAAGAATTGGCTCCTGCAGTAACCTATGTTACAGACATGGCGTGGTAGAATTGGTACCTGCAGTAACCTATGTTACAGAAATTCCGTGGTAGAATTGGCTCCCGCAGTAACCTATGTTACGGAAATGCCGTGGTAGAATTGGTCCCTGCAGTAACCTATGTTACAGAAATTCCGTGGTAGAATTGGTCCCTGCAGTAACCTATGTCACAGAAATTCCGTGGTAGAATTGGTCCCTTCAGTAACCTATGTTACAGAAATGCCGTGGTAGAATCGGTTCCTGCAGTAACCTATGTACAGAAATTGCGTTGTAGAATTGGCTCCTGCAGTAACCTATGTTACTGACATGCCGTGGTAGAATTGGTCCCTGCAGTAACCTATGTTACAGACATGCCGTGGTAGAATTGGTCCCTGCAGTAACCTATGTTACAGAAATGCCGTGGTACAATATCGGTCCCTGCAGTAACCTATGTTACAGAAATTCCGTGGTAGAATTGGTCCCTTCAGTAACCTATGTTACAGACATGCCGTGGTAGAATCGGTTCCTGCAGTAACCTATGTACAGAAATTGCGTTGTAGAATTGGCTCCTGCAGTAACCTATGTCACAGAAATTCCGTGGTAGAATTGGTCCCTGCAGTAACCGATGTTACAGAAATTCCGTGGTAGAATTGATCCCTGCAGTAACCTATGTTCCACAAATCCATGGCAGAATTGGTCCCTGCAGTAAACTATGGGTAATAAATCTAATACCACACTCATTCCCGTAAGATATCATTTTTACGAAACGAATGGACGAGTCTGACAGAGCGAAAGCGTTAAATATGTATTATGTGTAAATATATAACAACTTTGTTCGTTGACAAACCAAACTGAAACCGGTGGCAAAATCTGGTTGCGCATGAATATTGACATATGCCCAAATGTGGGCATTGTTGACATTTCTATGCATACACATTAACAACATGCACGTGCAGTTGTGTTTGCAAACAGAACAGCACTGACGCTCAAGTTCCTTTTGGAAGAAATTCTCCAACTTATGGTAATTCAAGCGCCATGTTGTTAGTATGCAGGACACCTATAAGAGAATCTGAAAAGTCACATTAGCGCCGCGCTTTGAATATTGGACCAACAGTCGGTCACTCGCACTGCCGGGATCCCGTCGTGCAATCAAAATGGTTCGGTTCTCCTTGATCTATCAGCTGAATTTATATAATGTCCGTACCATTTTGGAAGAAGGAAATCAGAGTGTTCGCCAAACGCATTCATGTTAACTGTACCACCCTATACGGAAGACGGGAAAATCAACAAACTCAAGTCTGCTTGCATGTCAATGACAGCTTCGAACGATCGAAGGGCAAGGTCACCAAACCGTCATCACTGCGTTTTACGCTAGAGATAGGGAATGTTATTGTTCACATTTGGGATGTTTGGGGCCACAAAATCAGAAGTCATGCACACTTCTACGAAGTTTTCGAATGATTTGTATCGGAATTAGTCATTTGGTCGGGAGTCGTGTACGTTCATTCATGAACACCTCCCGAAACAGCGCCACAAAAAAAACGCTTCGAAGGGGACACTGATGGCACAACCGGATCATCCAAAGTAAGTCTCGATATCTGTCCAGATAGTTTAAACTGCCTTCATTTCACCACGCTTATCCTTTTACGTTAAATCAAATTGAAAAGCTGTGAAAGTAGTCGGGTGCGTCACGCTCATAGGGACTCTTGATCGGTAGTCGTGCATTGTAAATGGATATAGCTCGATTATATAATGTCTTTAGAAGCTCTATGCATAACTTCTATAGGCTAGAATGCAAACCGAATTTGACGCATGTGACTATCTTGTTTGGTTCAATAAAGTGTTTGTAAATATCTCTCGTTCTCATGAACTCGCGATTTTTTATGAATGAAAAAAGTAGTCCTGGTTATCCAATCACAACGAATAAAACAAGTTCAACCTTGTACGACACACGTGTGACGTACGGATTTAGAATACTACCACGTGGGTAATAATTGTACTTCAATATTTTGTCTCTGCACTAACCTATGCCTGTCGTCTGACTACAATTGATCAGATCGTCAGACTCTGTGACCTGGCAGACTGTCTTCGTGCCCCGATGGTGTGGATGGCAGCTCAAGCTCTCCGCTTTCCCAGTTTTCCACATATTTGCTGCCCCGGACTGTTGTATAATGGATTCGGGAAATGTAGAACAAGGGTTTTAATTCACACAGAGCACATGGCATACACGAAGGCAGACATATTGGAACTACCCCTTCTCTTACTCCTAACTGAAGAGTACATTTTATAACATAAGCTGTCCGGAGTTATCTCCCCAAGACCATACCATGAACACATTAAGCCGTCCGGAGTTATCTCCCATAGACCCCTACATTGAGTGTACATAAAGATATAACACGGACTCATTATTCATATTGATTATATTGGTGACTGGCGTCACAACACTCACTCACTAACTCCACGAGACATCGAGAATGATGATTAGATTCATTGGCTACTGAGTGGAACTATTACATTACATAGCATATTTTTATTTCTAAGGTCGCTGTGCAGAGTTGCGTCCCTTGGGCACGACACCTATAGTCGTGGGTTCGAATACCGGTTCGTCCCGATTATGTTTCTAGGTTTGGCAGCACAGGCTCATGGGTTTCACCAAAGTGATGAACGTCTTAGATCTGCATCACTTCGGGCTTTCCTCACACAATGAGATGACACTCCGTGATATAACTGGAATACTGTTCAAAACGGCGCAAAACCAAATTCACTAGTTTGGGTGGCTTTGTGCCACCGAATACCGTGACGGCATGGATAAATGTTTAAACCATATCTTTGTCCTGTCCGATCCAGCGGCGATAAAGGCCCATGTTTAATGTTTGTTTCAAGACCCGAATTAATGGGTACGGGGTGGTCAGGCTCACGAGTGACGATATGTCTAATATGTTTTTGTATTGTCGTATACCACGACGACGTTCATCAAACCAATCGATGGTTTTCATGGCCGAGATTCCATTATTTACAAAGTTTCTTTAACAATCACCAGTGTCTTTATTGACTTTTATATGTTAGATCGAAAGAACATGTGTACATGTGTATAAAAATTCCATTGCGTGTATGTTGAAGTTAACCGCTACATAATCCGCACCACAGTCCCCTGTTCAATGAAAATGGATTCTTCCGTTGCGCGAGAGACGCCCACTGTCCCAAATCGCAGTGTTCACGCCGATATTTCGTAAGTTTGATAAGCAGTATATGAATAAGTATTATCCACTTCAATTTCAGCGTAATTCAGTCTCATTTGTTGTTTAAAAGCATTTAATACAGATATGTATTCCATACAGAATCAAATAATGTGAAATGATTGCCAGAGATTTGTTTTTTTCCATGAGTATATTACTAGAGAAGACAAGAAAACCTTTGATGCGTTACATAAACACGGCTGCAAACTCTATTTTTCATCAGATTAAATTGACAAGAAAACCTTTGATACGTTACATAAACACGGCTGCAAACTCTATTTTTCATCAGATTAAATTGACAATATTTTCTGAAATTGATAAACAATGTCTTTCCACAGTAAATGAGCGCGTGCAGGCCGTAACTAGGTCAAAGCGCATTCCGCTTGTGATGAACACACAAGTTGGCACTGTCTCTCTCATTATTGCAGTAAATAAATGTCATGCCTTTCAGGGTTTAAATAAAAATATAACTGAACAATCAACAACATACGAGACAATTAAGAACTAGAAGACCAGATATGGCATGTTATAAACATTTGTTAAAATTACCAATCGGCTCCCAGAGCTTACTCAGAAAAAATGAGTCTCACTCTAATACTTGCGGTAGACTTTCCAACAAATGTCATGCATTTCAGGGTTTAAACCCCCAAAAAATGAACAACGAACGAAACGTCGAGAATTTTAATGTTGGAAGCAATTGTTTAAATTATAGAACAACATGTACTTTCTATTCAATTACTCTTAAGGCCATATTTCTATTATCCACAAGTCCTATAGATTTTTCAGAAAATTATTTCAAATGGACAATGGCGGCATGGCTGCCGCGGAATAATCACGCCTCGTTATTTGCAGAGTAGCCTCCCTTTGAACAGACAACGTCACTATGGCGACGTTTTCATTCGTCATCAACGTTCACCGAATGTACACGCGCAAAGGACATTGTCTCTGCTTTTGTTGCCAATAGATTGTTTTATACATCTCCCGGACTTATCAAACTCTTCCCAAACAGAAGATTATGTCTGGTAGGTGATAATTTGAAACTGATGTCAATTTGTCTTCAGTGAGAACGTGAATGGTGTGATTTTAATACTTTTCACATTCTTGATTGTTATGAATGAGTTTACGTTTCCCTCCAGACATATGGCACACACCTAGTGTTAAAAGATGTTGTCACGTGTTCTGTATATTCTTCATTTTTAAGTAAATTAATACCAGACGGAATTTACCTGGAATCAAACAGTCCTTTTCAGCGCCTTCAAAGTTGATACGGCCATCATATTGGAGTAGATCTACTTCGAAAAGGAACCGTGTACTTCAGTAAAGAAAACGTTTGAAATATCAAGCAGATCTTGAATTTATTATTCATCATTTCATGACTGACCTGATTTTAATGTATTTATTCCTTACCATCGGCAGCCCTTAAACTTGGTCTTGCGTCTGTACGGAGACTCCCTTCTACTATCGCCGGACATGCCGCCCAAAAGGTAGGTAACTGTTTTACATATGCTTGTTCTTCTTCACAAAAGCCAGTACATTCAACACATGGAACACGCAAAATAATAGTTCAGATACGAATTTTAAAGGGTGGTATTTGAGGGAAACACATTTCTCAAGAAATAAGAAGGCATGCAGAGATTCAATAAGACGACAGTAATTGAATAGGAAGGCGGCGATTAAACAATTTAGCTCACGTACGCGCTTAAACATTTGGTATATATTAGAACTTGCTCATTGTGTGTCTTTGTGTCTACTTTATAACAGATGTTAGAAGCAATGGATACGCTGCCTGCTTTTGGACCAAGTCAGTTCAGCATCTTCGGGGTAAGATCTAGATTTCCTGATATCCGTCGCTGTTGTCAATTACATTTGGGGTTCTATTAAGACGATATTGTATGGAGAAGGATGAACTATATTTATGATAATATTTATATTATGATCCCATTAGGATTAGATTGTTACCCTGTTTACATGTTGTTTAACGCTGCACAGTATTCCAGGTATATGGCGGCAGCCTGTAAATAATCGAGTTCAGGACTAAGCATGTGTTACATGCATAAACTCAACATGAACATATACTACTATTGCTTTCTCTTGTATTTCCATAAGATCGGCACATGGGAGGGAGGCTGTTCATACACGTGCTCTTATTTCAGGTAGAAGCTATGGACACCCAACCTTACACAGGGCACAGCCAGTTTAGTATATTTTCGGTATGTATGATTATGTTTTCATTGTTACTCTTTCTATACAATCTGGCAGTGGGAAAGATGGTGTTTGTAACAGCAGATCCATGGATCGTATCATAATGTTTACTTGTTTGTTTATTTCAGACCATTGACATGGACACTGCACCCGCGATGGGACATGGGCAGTTCAGCATCTTTGCCAAGGTAAGAAACTTTATTTCTGAATTCTGAATAAGGACTGAATCTTAATGCATTTCTGGCTTTACCAAATGTTTATAATCAGCTTAAAGACATAATCAACTGTTCAAAACACTGTGTTAACAAATCACTTCTTTAGTTTAGTTTACATTTCTAACACCTCAAGTTGAAATTTCTTTCAAATACTCTACACAACTAAACATATACCACCTTGAACAAGTGGACATGTAAAAGTACACATCTGATGGTATTTCCTCTCTTCAGCAATTGTTCCATGTTGTTATTACTATATCATTTTTTAATTTGAAGTTTACACGATAAACTGCTTTTCCATTTGACGAGAGGTCGGTCACATGACCGCGAAATTGACGTTCATAAGTGTATGAACGACATAATGTGACGTTCATACGTTTTTCACGAGACCGTGTTCTTGAAATGACGTAAACACTGATGAACTACTTCCACATTCCTGGGGAAACCCCTATCACGAAAACGTGCATTAGCGTTCTTTCTGATCATTTTGAACCTTTATTCTTGGTTTCAGGGTTTCAGTGTACATTGAGAAATGTCAGAGAGCGTGACTGCATGATTGTTCACGAATATCCTCGCTACGGCCCATCCTAACATGCCTAATGAACAAACGAAGTAATGCACATCTAAACTATCGAAGTATCGACTCGATCCGTGCCTAGGCTGACATTGACCGTCTCCAGCAATCTATGAATTTACCTTTGTGTCTGTTTGACGCATCTTTATTCACCTTTCAATGATCGGCCAGTTGATCAATGATGACTTACACATGTAACCGGCACAGGTTCATTAACAACTTCGGAAATCTCTCCCGTCACGTTTATCGTGTCGGCCATTTTGACGTCTTGTACATGTAAATGTATTACGATGCGCTGTCATTGTGACTGACTTACTAAGGTAGTTCTTTACATACCTTTCTCATCTAATGAGGATATGATTTGAACACATGTGCTGCGTAAGATGTTTCTGAAGAGCAAGTTGTGCATCCATACGCCCATGTCACCTCTCTTTTTGAGGAACTATTTTACTCCGCGATATAGCTGGTTGTTGTATGTCTGTCAGTGTAAACATGAAGTCGCATGTACTAAACAAAACTGTGTTTAGATCTTGGCCTACATCCTTTGAGCTAAGAAAGTGTGATAAAAAAATTATAAGAATTGACTTTCACTTTGTGTGAGTTTATTGGAGTATGAACCTTCATAGAGTGAGGGCAAGCTCCGACGTTCATACAGTATGGCCCTCACTCTTTCAAGGTTCATACTCCAATGAACTCACACAAAGTGAAGGTCAATTCTTAAATGTTTATTGATAAACATCTTATTTTAAAAAAAATATGTTGGTATGTTCTTAAAAATATCAAACATGTGATCATAAAAAGTACTATTGGTATGCATGTTTATTATTACTTTACATTTGTTGATTATTATATTGATATTTAAACAAGAGTCATCCGAAGATGACATATCCCTCCGACGTGGCATGTCGGTAAACTGTGTGTACCTTCAAATGTTTTTAGATTGGCAGGGAAATTTGTTTCCTTGATGCCAAAACCAGAAATATAATGAAGGTTATTAAATATTGGTTCATGTAGCTCACTTTCTGATGATCTCAAATGTCAGGGGCTACAAATTAAAAATATTAAAATCTATAAATAACAAACTGCACTACTAGTGAAAAAATAACTTCCTACATAATCTATGAGTTAATATATATTTATAAAGCTGTGTAGCAGAATATTTCCACCTCATAATTAATAAATAATGTGTGCATGGATTCTTTACAATATGATGCATGTGATCTACAATGTTATACTGTTGTTACACATTGTGATTATTACTATACATCTGTTGATATTTGGATTGTTATTTTTTAATAAAGCTTATTGTATTGTTAACGTTTATTGTCTGTCTATTGTTTCCATAATGGAACTGTTGTAGTGCACTTGCTAACTGTCAGCTACAACTGGGAAGTAACCTATACACTCCACACACTAATATTATAGATAATAATAAAAAAAACTACATCTATAAGCTTGAATAAACCTTGTCACTCTTTCAGTGGCCTACTGTTGGGAATGTGTGTATATAGTGACTGGGACATGCTGTTGTCCAATGACTCGTTAAACCGGATTATGTCACTGGGGATTGGACAATGAAGACAAACAGCCTCGACTATCCAGTGTACAATATTCCTATTCTATTCCATCTAGAATGGCCGTGTCATACCAAAAGACGTTGAAAGATGGTACTAGTTATCCTGCCTGACGCTCGGTATTAAGGGGCTAATACAAGGACTGGTCGTCCCGGAGTCTCGGTATTCATGTTAAACTCAGGCATGGTATCTCAGTGGATTAGCACTATTAAAATCGGCATTAGTCGGGACTAGTATAAGCAGCCACACGCGCACACGCGCGGACACAAACAAACACACACTCTCTCTCTCTCTCTCTCTCTCTGATCATAATATCAATCACTGGTTTGTTTGATCCAGACTTGGTTATTTACAGGAAAACGTCATTTTGCATGAGTATTGCTGAGGACTGCTTAACACAACAGTTAACAAATCAACTTTTAGCAAGGCATGACACGACGAGGATGCCAAAGATTTGCTTTGCACATTGTGCCCATTTGAAGAATCTTGGTGATGAGTGAACTACTCTATACTAATGGTACCTGACACGTGACGGTCTGGGTTAGTGTGAGTGAGTGAGTTCGGTTTTACGCCGCTTTTAGCAATATTCCAGCAATATCACGGCGGGAGACACCAGAAATGGGCTTCACACATTGTACCCAGGTTGGGAATCGAACCCGGGTATTCGGCGTGACGAGTTAACGCTTTAACCATTAGGCCACCCGACCAACCCCCGGTCTGGGTTAGAATTGGTCTTCAGCAACTCATGCTTGTCGAAAGAGACGACTAATGGGATCGGGTGGTCAAGCTCTCTGACTTGGTTGATGCACGTCATCGTATCCGAATGGAGTAGATCAATGCTCATGTCAAACACTAAATAGTCTTGTTCAGAGTCGATACAATTTACAGACCGCCGTCACATGTTGGAATGTTGGTGAGTGCGTTGGTAAACAACAAACAAGTTAATCGGCCCCTATGGTAAGAAGCAGAACTGTTCCCCAATTAATATCTCTCGCATGTCGTTTTCTAGACTATTAACCCCACGTTGAAATAGCGTAACCTATGTTACAGAAATTCCGTGGTAGAATTCTTCCCTGCAGTAACCTATGTAACAGAAATTCTGTGGTAGAATTATTCCCTGTAGTAACCTATGTTACAGAAATTGCGTTGTAGAATTGGTCCCTGCAGTAACCTATGTCACAGAAATTCCGTGGTACAATACCGGTCCCTGCAGTAACCTATGTTACAGAAATGCCGTGGTAGAATTGGTCCCTGCAGTAACCTATGTTACAGAAATGCCGTGGTACAATACCGGTCCCTGCAGTAACCTATGTTACAGAAATGCCGTGGTACAATATCGGTCCCTGCAGTAACCTATGTTACAGAAATGTCGTGGTACAATATCGGTCCCTGCAGTAACCTGTGTTACAGAAATGCCGTGGTACAATATCGGTCCCTGCAGTAACCGATGTTACAGAAATGTCGTGGTACAATATCGGTCCCTGCAGTAACCTATGTTACAGAAATGCCGTGGTACAATATCGGTCCCTGCAGTAACCTATGTTACAGAAATGCCGTGGTACAATATCGGTCCCTGCAGTAACCTATGTTACAGAAATGCCGTGGTAGAATTGATCCCTTCAGTAACCTATGTTCCACAAATCCATGGCAGAATTGGTCCCTGCAGTAAACTATGGGTAATAAATCTAATACCACACTCATTCCCGTAAGATATCATTTTTACGAAACGAATGGACGAGTCTGACAGAGGGAAAGCGTGAATTTACTGAAATATGTATTATGTGTAAATATATAACAACTTTGTTCGTTGACAAACCAAACTGAAACCGGTGGCAAAATCTGGTTGCGCATGAATATGACATATGCCCAAATGTGGGCATTGTTGACATTTCTATGCATACACATTAACAACATGCACGTGCAGTAGTGTTTGCAAACAGAACAGCACTGACGCTCAAGTTCCTTTTGGAAGAAATTCTCCAACTTATGGTAATTCAAACGCCATGTTGATAGTACGCAGGACACCTATAAGAGAATCTGAAAAGTCACATTAGCGCCGCGCTTTGAATATTGGACCAACAGTCGGTCACTCGCACTGCCGGGATCCCGTCCGTGCAATCAAAATGGTTCGGTTTCCTTGATCTATCAGCTGAATTTATATAATGTCCGCACCATTTTGGAAGAAGGAAATCAGAGTGTTCGCCAAACACATTCATGTTAACTGTACCACCCTATACTGAAGACGTGAAAATAAAAAAA